TCTGGCTAACCAGTCATCTTCTTGGGCCATACAGGGAAATGTAAAGTTGGTAAGTGAGAGAGAAGCAATATTGTTTGAAAAGGTTAGCTTTTTACTTCTTTGCAGATTTATGCCCTGTGGCTTTTATGCCCAGCATTTGTCTTGAGGTATCTTTACCACTTGGAAGAATTATGATACTCGGTAAATTCGATATGAGGCACAAATTGAAGAAAATAATTTTTGATCAAATCTGATTTAAGTTCATCTCAACTAATACCATAGGTCCCTTCTGACCCTAATCATGACATCAATTCTTCCCAAATTTCTTTTAGGGGTGGCAGTAAGGTATAATAAAACAGCATAGGCTTAGAATGACACACTTGGGTTTAAATCACAGTTTTACCACTTAACTAGCTGTGTGACCTCCCGTAAGTTATCAAATATCTTTGCCTCACTTTCCACATCTATAAAATAACATAATTACAGGGTCAAGGATTAAATTATGATGTGTTTAAAGTACTTGGAAAAGTTTCTAGCACACAGTAGGTATTACACAAATATTAGTTCCTTTCCCCTCCTAAGTTCTATATAGATAGCACCAAGTGAGTTCTCAAAGGATGAAGGCTCTTTCCTTCCTTTTTATAAGACAACACAGAACTAGGTTGCTTAATCATATATGACCAAGCCTCTAGATCAAAGTCTTTTCTGTAGACATGGATGTCTAAAGTAGACAATGCCATATTACTTTTTCTAACATCTCTTAGCAGCCAAGATGTCCAATAATTTTGTATTCATTACATGAAAAGAAAAACTATTTGTCTTCCACCTCACTTTTCAACATAGGGTCCTAGTTATAAATAACTAGGAATGGAAGTCCCTCAACTTAGAATGTAAAGGACTGTGAGTAAAGAATAGAAGGGTAATTTGACTCTTAAATAAAGGAGTAAAGGATTGAATGCCAATCTTTAATATTTTTTTCCTCTATGCCTCTTAATTATATACGAAGAAATAGAACAGAGGGACACTATTAAAGTGCCTCTGTGTAAAATCTAACAGAACTTTAAGAGATTTAAATTCAGGCCTTAATATCAATGTTTCACTGAGCTTTTTTCTTTTAAAGCATGTCAAAACAGGCTATTCTCTTACTTGGGTAACAGCTGGGTTCTTTTTGTAGTTTAGGCAGAGAAATTCTGCCAGAGCCAAAAGCAGTTCAGTTCCAACTGGAGCATTTCCATGGATACCGGCAACAAAACGAATCTTTGGTTCTTCAGGCTCAGATACATTGGGCTTATTGGAGATTTCAAGGGACCAAATGTGACGATATTCAGAGCTCTGTCCCAAACTTTCAAAAACCAGAAACAAAAAGTCAGTACGTTATTAAGCATTATCTTAATGCTGACTTACAGATTTTTAAGACAAAAGAAACCAAAACATGAAAACCCTTAAAAGTCTTGAAAGAATGAATCATTGTGTCAGAAAATATTATGAAAATTAGTTTTCTTTGACCAGAGAAAGGCAGATAGAAATGAGATGTTATCAGATTCAGGAAAGATTATGATTTAGTTCAGCATTCCTCCAACTTCAGTAATTCCCACACCATCCTCACAGTGTTGGCCCTATCCTCTATTATCTACATTACGATCTAGTTAACATATGTCTTTTAAATTAACTAAAATTTTGTTATGGAAAGATTTAAATATACACAAATGTGGAGACATGTACTTTAAAATCTAAATTAATTTATATGAATATGACACTTTATATTTTACTATAAATGCAATAATAGTATCACAGTTAAAATAATTTAAAATGCTCTGCTTGCCCAAGTGCTCTGGGCTTAAGGCCCTCTACTTTCTCTGATATAAAAGGAGATTCACAAGACACAGATAGAAAAAAAAAATATGGGCATTAAATTGAGAAGGATTAACAGACTAGAAAAAATTTTGCTTTCTCACAATGTGTTTAACATACACAACATTGCGCCCATTGGTGGCCCACCTAAAACTGTCTTGTGGCGCACCACTGTCAGGTGTTGCATATTGAGGGGGCAATATTTAACTAAAAAGTTTGTCTTGAATTGGAAGATAAAAAAAAAAACTTAAATAATCTTAGTAAATGGATAGCAAGATAATATATGCAATTTGTTTATTTTTAAATATTCAAGTCTATAAGCTGTATATGGCACTAAGACAGACAAGGAATTCTCCCTCAGTGTTCTTCGGAAAGGTTTCCACGATTCATTGTGAGAAACATCTCCAAGCAAATACCTGTTTCAAAATAAGTCAACTCCAACTCTGTATACATTCAGCTCCCAAATAAATTACAGGGACAATTCAACGTGGCTTATGCTGAATGTGAACGGAAGGAAGGAAGGAAGGGAAGGAGGGAGAAAGGAACAGGAGGAGGAAGGAAAGAAGGGAGGGAAAAAGAAAGGCAAGCAGGAAGGTGATGCTTACTTGGTAAGATTCGTAATATGTGGGTAGTTCATCACCAATCCTCTCAGAAACTCTGATAAGTCTTTGTACGAATGGTACCGATAAAGAGCCAGATTTGAGGAGGAGCGTAACATGAGGCCTTCCAAACCATTCTCCGCTGAAAGGTCTTTAATTAAAGTTTCAAACACTTTAGTAGTTGGGTCACTGGCTTCATCAGTGTTGGTGCTATCCCCCTTTCCTTTCTTTGATTCGCTATTTGAATCTGTTGAAGACCGAACAAGTGTGAAGTTGACCTGAATAGCACCTTCACTCTTTACGGTCGCATTCTTGGTGACTGGATTATACCTGTAATCAAAGAGCCTGATCAGAGCCGCAGTTGTGCGGCTACAGTGCCCAAGCCCCGGGGAGACCGAGCATGCAGAGCATATGTGAATCGTTGAGGTGGGTGCCGTGCATGTTCCTAAAAGAGCCCAATTGTTAACTCTGATAATTTAATATTTGTTTTAAACATTAACAAAGAACAGACATAGGTAATGTAAAATATGAATGAGTTACTAAAATTAAATATATGACTTCAAAAGAAAGTTTGTGCTTGCCATGGATACCCCCATGTCTCTGGAATCTGAATTCACCTGCTGGTTTGGTTATCAGGGTAAATGGTTAGAAAAGTTTGAGAGGTACTAGTTTAGGACATTATCTACCAAACACATTGTTGTTGCTTATTTTTCAGACAACTTGTGGCTTTAGTTTTTCCAATACTATGCCAAAATGGAAGAAAAACAGAAAAGACCTCACTACTCATTATTGTGAAATTCTAACCCATCCTTTTGCGGAATCACTAGATATTTGAAATTTTTTTTTAAGTAAAAACAACTATAAATGTTCTCATGTGCTTATCCTTACTTCAATGGCTATTCAACTAACTGTTCAGAAAAAAGAAAGCTATTAGGGGGAGGGGAAATATCCTGTGGTAATATCTACATTAATCAAAACATAAAAAATAAAACTATAAGAGGGTAAAAATAAGTTTCAGATTGAACAGTAAGGTGGTTTCAATCCTAAGGTGTTGTAAAGAAGGAGAAATATAAAGAAAATTAAGTTTTTTCCAAGGGCAAACAAGTCTTAATCTCCTTTTCTCTCTTCAACTAGATATGTCTTTGTGGAAAGAGCACCTGTAAAGATGATGAAAATTGCCTTTCTTAGAGAATTAGCAGTAATGAAGAAAATTTCATTGAGGCAATAAGGCAAGGGTACAATAATTTAAAAATGAGCATCTGTGAAAGGGCTTTAAAAGGGTATAAATGTAAAGTGGTGATATTTATTGGCAACCTGACTAAAGGTGTGCAGCAGAACTGGAGCCTTTTTTGTCAACTAAAAGGAATTTTCCAGAATTGTTACCAATAGTGAAGGAAACCACTCACTAGGGCTTCACATCTGGACGGGGACAGGTGATGAGAGAGTACTGTAGTTCGAGTACTTACTTTGCCACTAGAGAAGGGTAAAAATGCATGTTACCAGCTCTCAGCTTCCCAGCATTACACTCAAGGTTGCTTAGCCTCTCTAGGGCTTTCTGGCAATGATCTTACAGAATGGAATCATGTTTGTCTTATCCCCAAGCCCTCAATTTCAAAGTATTCAGTCACTCACCCTCGAGCAGATGCTGTGATTTTATAAGTTCCTGGAACCAGGAGACGCCAGTAATCTCCAGTTTTGTATGTAGTCACTGGGTGATTAATTTCAGCAACACTAATGGTGGCATTTAATATACCTCTGCCATCCGTGGCATCTAGGACAAATCCTTTAACACCCTGATGAACCTGGATAAAGTACAGGGACACCCAGATTTCAATGGCAAAGATCATCATCTAATTATTGTGGGAGCTTATATCCAAAATATAAGATTGCTACTAATGTAGAAAAACATGTAGAAAAAACAGGAATTTAGGAATTTAGGGTAAAGCTAGATGTAAAGGCCCACTTACCAAAATATTTTAATTTCTGAAAGGCTTATTTTTCATGGGCTTGGTTTGTCTTTATCATGAGGAATATAAATAATATTGTTTACACTTTAACACATCTGACAATTTGAGAATATAGGATATTCTCCAAGAAAACTGGCCTGGCCTCTTTAAAAGGGAAATGTCATTTTTAAAAAATGGAAGGACTACTCTAAATTAAAGAGAAGGAGATGTAATAATCAAATGCAATGCATGAATCTTGACAAGATCCTGGTTCTAAAATATAGATTTAAAAAGACATTTTCTGGGACAAAAGGGAGAAATTTAAATATGGATTAAGTAGTAGGTAATATTAGGGAATTACTCTTAATTTTCTTAGATGAGATAATGGCATTTGGAGATGGCAGAGAGGGGAATATCCTTATTTTTGGAAGATGCATTCTGAAATATTCAGGGATAAAATATTATAACACCTGCAGTTTACAATGAAATAGTTGAGCAAAAATGTATGTGTGTGCATGTGTGTATGATTTATATACAAATAAAACAAATACAGCAAAATGTTGAAAATTGCTAAATCTAGGTGATAAAATAATAGTGGTTTATTATATTGGTCTTATAATTATTCTGTATGTTTAAAATTTCTCAGAATAAAGTGTTTTTCAAATTAGTATGTAAACTCACAGCCTTTATGCCACTCCACTCAACAAAAAGAATAAAACAGAAAAGTGCTGGCATCAAGTATTATCCTAATAATTAACCCTTATTAGTATATTTCTTACAGTTTTTGCTTATTGGCCACCAATCACAACCAAACAAAAGGAAATTAATCATTTCATAGTAAACCACTGGCAAAAAGAAAAATGAATAAAAGCATTTACCCCATAGCCCATATTTCCATCACTTGACAGATGCTTAGGCGTGAACCCAATTTATGCTAGCCTTTTATAAAGACAGGGTAAAAAGTGACCACTAACCATTAAAAGCAAAATGTCACTATGTTGTTTAATTATTTTCAAGTCTTCCCCATGCACACAAATAATAAACTCATTTCCACCCATGAATTTTCTAAATAAATATACTAAAGCATGAAGAGGTTAAGGTGGAATTCAAAAGGGTGCATTATAAAAATCACTGCATGAAAACTGTTTGTGCACACAAAAATCGTCTTGTTCTTGGGGGAAATTTCATACTTCACCAAACAGTCACCTGTTTCATAAATTGAATTAGAGATCTTCGATTCTGTTCCCAAAATTTTGGCAGATCTTTCTCAAATGGGTATTTCATACAGCCTAGTTCAATAGTTACTTCAAAGCAATTAGTCTGTAAATAGTTCCAATCCTGCATACCACCTAAAGGATAAAAAATTAAAATCAATCACTGAAGAAGAACTACCTGATAATGTGTTCATTTGAGAGCTCTTTGATGCTTGTGGTACAAGTGAAACACCTATACTACTTTCATGTTCAAGAATTCAAGTATAGTTTACCCTCTTCTTTTTAGAGCATCTAAGGTTCTTTGTAATAGCCAAGGTAAAAGATAACACTTTCATCAAGTTTTAGTACATTCTTTCTACTCAAAACTCTAAGTGCACCAAATGTAAAAATAGTTGAAAATGTTATTTGAATATTTTAAACTACTTAAATAATACTTCTAAAAGAATGATTCTTTCCCAAAATTAAAAAGTCAGTTAACAAGCATCATCATCCAGGGAGATGGAAAATCCATTATTATATGGCCTTGATACAAAAGAATATTTTTAAAATATATTTTTTGAAATAAGAGTTAATGTAGTATTATATTAGTTTTTGGTGAACAACACAACAATTTAGCTTTTTTAATATAAAAGAATATTTACCTGGGACATTATACCAGTTAGCTCCATTTGTTATTCCATGAGGAAAATACTCATTAGGGTACATATTCTTACAAGGTCTACCTTGAAACATCTGGGTATTTTCCTGGGGGAAAAGAAAATCTTTATTTGCATTGATTTGTATCTGCATCAAAAAACAATGGAAGGATAAGGAAAAATAATAAAAGTGATCAGCAATAGGGTGTATGTAGGGGTGGGAATGGGGTGGATGGGAACCAGTGAGACTTCTCACTTTATAGTTTTCTGTGTCATTTTGATTTTTTAAATTTTTTTACTGTATAAGCTTATTCTATATTTTTAAAATAAAAATCAAATATGCTTTGTAAAAAGATTGGACTTTATTACTGACAATGACAAGTAATATAAAACCCAACACTGCTCTAAAAAAAAAACACCAAAAAACCATTCATATTTATATTTTCATTTTATATTTTCAAGAAGCTTACCAGAAAAGGTAATTCACATATAATGTGTAGTAAGCAGCTTTCAGACTTCTAGGGGGACTAACATGACCCCTCTGTGGTTTGACTGCACTCTGTACAATTTACCTTATCCTGTTAAAGAGCTGCCCCTTTTCCTCCCCTGAAGACAATACACCACTCTTTGCAACAGTTTGCCTCTTCATATCCTCAGCATCTAGAGCCATGTCTGGCATCAGGCACGTGCAATAGCTTGCTCAATGAAGAGTAAAAAAAACTGCCATGGGGGCACACATGAATGTTACTGGTTTCTAGAGAAGAGAAAGATTACTTCTGGCTAGAGTGGTAGGGGAAGTTTCCTGAAGAAATGAAGCTTTGAAGATAGTCAAAACTTCATTTCTTCCTTTTGGAAAAAAAAAAAGTACAGACAAGTGTGAAGAGAAAAGCAACAATTTCCATTTCCCACCACTGAGAATTAACCATTTAACTTCAAAATAAATAAACAACCCTCTTTCATAAGCTTGACATACCAATTACAGACTTATGTCCCACTGCTCTCTTATCAAATAAAAAGTATTATTTTAGATTACTGTAATAATTGTGTACATGCTCTTTTGCTTTCTGGTTTTTCCACTAAAGACTTGCACAAATCTAAGTCTTTAGCTCTCTATCTCCATTTCCATCAATATCTACCCATCTAATTATAAATTACATAGATGTATCACTGTACTATTTTACTAATACAATATATATATTATAAACCTGCATAAAAGTATAAAACATTTAAAGGATAAATTTAAAACACATAAATAGAATTTCTAACATATTCTTCCTACATCTTAATGGATCACCTACAAATCCCACTCTAGCCACCATAGTTTAAGGCAGTAGCTATTAACATTTCAACTTTTTTCTCATTGCAGGAAGAAGCTAGTGAAGATCTCTAACAAAGAGGTAATATGTGATATATTCATGGCTCTAGGAAGTTTACTCTGATAATAATGCAAAAGATGGACTAAAGAACATCTTCACAGATGTTCTTGGTCTGTTTTCCCTCACTATGATGCCTTATGGCAGGGCAAAGGTTGGTTGGGTGCATGATAGATCATAGCCAAGAGAAAGAATGCTGAGAGTGAAGACTGAGGATTTTAATTACCACCTTTCCCATTTATGAGCCCAAGATTCCAGGCAAGGAAGGATGCAGTGTGAGCAGGAAATGGAAGAAAATATAGATAAGACAAAAATAAGTCATAATTGAGAAGACAGAATCTGAACAAACTCACATCAGATTACTCAAAATTCTACTTCAGTTTAAGGCAAAGTGATCTACTGAGAATAAAAAAGGTAAAGCTTGGATTAGGAGGCTTAGGTAAAGGATAAAGGCATGGAATCACCATAAAGGGAAATGAGCCAAGGAGTCAAGTAGCAAAACATGAAATATTGAGAAGTAGAACTGAGGACTCAGAGTATATATATATATACACACACACATGCAGTCAGTCACCATAACTTTTCTGAAATGAAGAAGAGAGATGGTGGTAATTACAGAGGATTGGATGTTGGCAAGGCAGATACGTCAAAAGGGTATAAAAAGATCCTAAGGCATCCCTGATGAACATAGATGCCGAAATACTCAACAAAATATTAGCAAATCGAATTCAAAAATATATCAAAAAGATCGTCCACCATCATCAAGTAGGATTTATTCCAGGGATGCAAGGATGGTACAATATTAGAAAATCCATCAACATCATCCACCACATCAACAAAAAGAAGGACAAAAACCACATGATCATCTCCATAGATGCTGAAAAAGCATTTGACAAAATTCAACATCCATTCATGATAAAACTCTCAACAAAATGGGTATACAGGGTAAGTACCTCAACATAATAAAGGCCATATATGACAAACCCACAACCAACATCATACTTAACAGTGAGAAGCTGAAAGCCGTTCCTTTAAGATTGGGAACAAGATGCCCACCCTCTCCACTTTTATTCAACATAGTTCTGGAGGTCCTTGCCACAGCAATTAGACAACACAAAGAAATAAAGGGCATCCAGATTGGTAAGGAAGAAAAACGGCCACTGTTTGCAGATGACATAATATTGTATATAAAAAACCCTAAAGAATCCACTTCAAAACTACTAGATCTAATACCTGAAATCAACAAAGTTGCAGGATACAAAATTAATACACAGAAATTTGTTGCATTCCTATACACTAATGATGAACTAGCAGAACGAGAAATCAGGACAATTCTATTCACAATTGCATCAAAAAGAATAAAATACCTAGGAAGAGACCTAACCAAGGAAGTGAAAGACCTATACCCTGAAAACTACAAGACACTCTTGAGAAAAGAAGATACCAGTAAATGGAAACACATCCCATGTTCATGGATAGGAAGATTTAATATTGTTAAAATGGCCATCCTGCCTAAAGTGATCTACAGATTCAATGCAATTCCTATCAAAATACCAACTGCATTCTTCAATGAACTAGAGCAAATAGTTCTAAAATTTGTATGGAACCACAAAAGACCCTGAATAGCCAAAGCAATCCTGAGAAGGAGGAATAAATGTGGGAGGATTACACTCCCCAACTTCAAGCTCTACTACAAAGTCACGGTAATCAAGACAATTTGGTACTCGTACAAGAACAGACCCATAGACCAATGGAACAGACTAGAGAGCCCTGATATAAACCCAACCATATATGGTCAATTAATATATGATAAAAGAAGTCATGGACATACAATGGGGAAATAACAGCCTCTTCAACAACTGGTGTTGGCAAAACTGGACAGCTACATTCAAGAGAATGAAACTGGATTATTGTCTAACCACATACACAAAAGTAAACTTGAAATGGATCAAAGACCTGAATGTAAGTCATGAAATTCTTAGAAGACAACATAGGCAAACATCTCTTGAATATAAACATGAGCAACTTCTTCCTGAATGCATCTCCTTGGGCAAGGGAAGCAAAAGAAAAAATGAACACATGGGACTATATCAAACTAAAAAGCTTCTGTTCAGCAAAGGACACCATCAACAGAACAAAAAGGCATCCTACAGTATGGGAGAATATATTCATAAATGACATATCCGATAAGGGGTTAACATCTAAAATATATAAAGAACTCACATTCCTCAACACTCAAAAAGCAAATAACCCAATTAAAAAATGGGTGGAGGATATGAAGAGACAATTCTCCAAAGAAGAAATTGAGATGGCCAACAGACACATGAAAAGATGCTCCACATCACTAATCATCAGGGAAATGCAAATTAAAACTACAGTGAGATATCACCTCATACAAGTAAGGATGGCCAGCATCGAAAAGACTAAGAACAACAAATGCTGGTGAGGATGTGCAGAAAGGGTAACCATCCTATACTGCTGGTGGAAATGTAAGCTAGTTCAACCACTGTGGAAAGCAATATGGAGATTCCTCAAAAAACTAAAAATAGAAATACCATTTGACTGGGGAATCCCACTTCTTGGAATTTACCCAAAGAATACAACTATTCAGATTCAAAAAGATATACGCACCCCTATGTTTATTGCAGCACTATTTCCAATACCCAAGATTTCGAAGCAACTTAAGTGTCCATCAGTAGATGAATGGATAAAGAAGAGGGGGTACATATACACAATGGAATACTATTTAGCCATAAGAAACAAATTCTACCATTTGCAACAACATGGATGGAGCTGGAGGATATGCTCAGTGAAATAAGCCAGGCGGAGAAAGACAAGTGCCACATGATTTCCTCATTTGTGGAGTATAACAACGAAGCAAAACTAAAGGAACAAAATAGCAGCAGACTCACAGACTCCAAGAAGGGACTAGCGGTTACCAAAGGGGAGGAGTGTAGGAGGGCCAGTGGGGAGGGAGGGAGAAGGGGATCGAGGGGTATTATGACTGGCGTAAATGGTATGTGTGGGGGTCACGGGGAAGGCAGTACAGCATGGAGAAGACAAGTAGTGACTCTACAGCATCTTATTACACTGATGGACAGTTACTTCAATTGGGTTTGGGGGGGACTTGATAATATGGGTGAATGTAGTAACCACAATGTTTTTCATGTGAAATCTTCATAAGAGTGTATATCAGTGATACCTTAATAAGGAAAAGTAAAAAAGAGCCTAAGGTAGAAAGTGAAAACATCACTAAAGGTACATCCATGGGTCTAGTCTGGGTAGAAACTAAGTCAAATCAAAAGGACTAAAGGTCAGAGGAAACAAAAGAGGCTAAGGAACTAGAAGTCACTATGAGGGTGAAAAGCCAAACTATAAGAACAGGCACAGAATGTGATGGGGATATGTGCAAAACCTGATCACTTAATCTTTATTTTGATGATTTGGAGTGTATCTCATTATTCTCTTATTATTCCATATATATCTCTTTAAAAATGTGTGCCTAAAGAGAAGACAACTATCCTTTAAAGTGAAATAATAGGTGTCCTCCCTTGTTAGAAACTGGATAATCTCACAAGGTCTACTTTTAGAATGGCAGATTTACAATTAGAGAGCATAAAGTTGCAGTAATAATCTTCATTATCTATAATCAATAAAGGCATCGACTGAGTCAGTAAAAAGACCAAAAAAAAACAAGCCTCATTCCCAAACCCCAGCTTTTAACACGTTTTCTTAAGAACAGTTTCTAAACTACATTTTCACATAAGCACACACACAAATATAACATTTCTGATTGTAAAAATAATGTGTGTTCATTATAGGAAGTTTAGAAAATACAGAAATTTCTATCCGCTCTCCCTTGCTTTTGGTTACTGTAAGCTCTTAAATAGCTTAGACCAGAGGTTGGCTATTTCCATGAAGGATCAGATGGTAAAAATTTTAGGCTCTCTGGGCTCAAAAGCATCAGCTGTAACTAATCAACTATGCCCTCTGCATCTGCTGAGATGACTGTAGCATTTTTCTTCTTTTGTCTGTTCATATGGTGAATTACACTGACTTATTATCAAATGTTGAAAGAAGCAGCCTTAGAGATACATAGAAGGATGTGGTTGGGTGTCAGTAAAATTCTATTTACAAAATAAATAACATTTTGTAAATAAATTTTGGTGGGCTGGATTTGGCCCCAGAGTTGTAGTTTGTCAACCCCTGCCTTAGACTACTTACTAAGGTTATAACTTAAGAACTTGTCAAGTGATATAAACTAGCATGCTATTTTCTATTTATTATGTTTATTATGTCCCAGGTATTGTGCTAAAAACTGTAGATGAAGGCTACTCCCTTTCTCTGGGGGCAGCCATTTTCTTTTTCAGATAATAAAATCTCTTACGTGGGGAAAAACAAACAAACAAACAAACAAACAAACAAAAAAACTGTAGATGAAAAGACATTCCCTGAGCTTAAAGGCTAATCGGTAAAGATAAGTAGTATATTCAAAAGTAAGGTGGAGAGCAGAGGAAAGAAGCAGTAAGGCTGCCTGAAAGGAATCATGGAAGGTTTAATTGAAAAGAAAGTACTTTACCTGAGTCTTGTAGGACTTTAAGGCTTTTTTTTTTAATGAAGTAATTAAATCTATAGCTTCAAGCACAAGCCTACCTTGGAATAGGAAAGTGCTATTTGTTGAAACACAGCATCATCTGGTGATTTACTATATGTGGCAAACCCTTGTTCATCATCATCAAATGGGTAATTCACCACCAAAGAACCTACAAGGGAAAAGAGGAAAATGTATCATATTATCTCTTTCAAGATGGATCATTAACATAAAGTAAGCTTTTCATAATACTGCCAGAAACAGGAAACCAACACAATTTTCCAAGGTTAATCTACTCAATAGAAATAATAAAGTTGCTGATTTCCTCAATGGAAAATCAGAGTGAGTAAGTGAAATATTAAATAGCTATGTGTGACACTTAAAAGCTGCCTTAACTGAAAAGATCTTTGGAATTTACCTGAATTTATGGGTGTAATTTACATATCAGAGCTGAAAACCAGAAGTATATAAGCTTAACTTAAACAATTTTATAGTATTTAGGATCAGAATAATGAACAAAATTTGGTAGTTTCAGTAAAATTCAGACATTTATAAAGTCATGGAATTTTAAAATGAAAACACCCTTTAAATCCAATTAATTCATCCTCATTTTGCAGATGTGGAGTCTAAAACAGGGAAGTTAAATGATTTGTGTAGCGACAGCAGAGCTAGCCCTGACCTATACTCAGAAAAAAATGCTAAAATTTCTCTTATGTTCATAGTAGAAATTAGTCAATTTGAGTTATATCAGATTTTCCATGCCCTGACGTAAAGGAAGTGATGCTTTAAAACATGTACAGGCTATCAAATCTCTTTATGCTCTGCATGGGGCATAAAGCAGTTAGGGTGCTTCTCAGGCAAGAGTCCTGAGCTACATATGCCTGGTGACTCCCCCACCATAGGATAAAATCCTTTATTTTCCTATTAGTCAAATTGTTTTCATTTGTTCATCCGTCCATTTATCTGCCTCTACTAAGCCATTCATTTTTGTCTTTTTTTATTATGCCATTCATGGGCATGGATGTGAAGGAACATATTCAATTTGAATTCAAGTGAAGTAATCTTGTGATGACAAATACCAGCAAACATTCATATATTAAAAAAAATTTCTTTAAGAAGCAAATATGAAGAACCATGTTCAGTCTATTCCCCAAAACAGTCTTACAAGAACAAACGTACTTCAATACCTCTTCTTATACAAATTTAATTTCTGAAAAAAAAATTTAATTTCACCCTGGATTTAAGGCCCACATCTAAAAACCTAACAGGAAGAAGTCAAAGTCAGTATCAACTTCTGCTAAATACTGTCTTTCAAATGGTTAATTTTCTAGGCCAAAAAAAAAAAGTCACAGAAGATTTATAATACTTCTAAGAAACAATTTATTAAAAAAAAATAACATGTCAAAACAAAAAGCATGAGCAACAAAAGGAAAAGTAGACAAATTTGACTTGATCAAAATTAAAAATTAAAAAATTAAAAAATTAAAACACAACCTATAGAATGGGAGAAAATATTTGCAAATCTGCAATCTGCTAAGGGTCTAGGACCCAGACTATAGAAAGAACTCTCACAACTCAAAACAAAGACAAACAGAAATAAACAATTAAAAGTGAGCAAAAGACTTGAACAGATTTTTCTCCAAAGAAGGTATCAATGGCCAAAAACCACACGAAAAGATGCTCAACATCATTAGCCATCAGGAAGTGCAAATCAAAACTACAATGAAATACCATTTTTTACTCACTAAAATGTCTATAATGAAAAAAAAAACAATAAATAACAAGTACTGGTGAGAATGTGTTAAAACTGAGACCCTCATACATTGCCAGTGGGAACGTAAAAATGGCTCAGCTATTGTGGAAAACAGTTCGGCAGTTCCTCAAAAAGTTAAATATGGAATTACCACATACAGTATTTCCATCAAAAAATAAAACATGGAATTACCTAAAAGAATTGAAAACAAGCTTAAATAGATATTGTATGCCAATGTTCATAGCAGTACTACACATAATTGTAAAAAGTGGGAATGATACAAATGTCCATGAGATAAAAATGGATAAACAAATTGCTGCATATACATACAATGTAATGATTCAGCCATTAAAGGAATTAGGTATTAATAGATGCTGCAATATGAACGAACCTTGAAAACATTATGCTAAGTGAAAGAAGACAGACACTAAAGGTCCCAGATTGTGTAATTTCACTCTATGAAATATTAAAAATAGGCAAGTCCACAGAGTCAGAACACAGATTGGTGGTTACCAGGGCTTGAGGGGAGAAGAGGTATAGGGAGCAACTGCTTAATGGGTATGGAGTTTCCTTTCAGGAAGAGTTAAATATTTGGAACTAGATAGAGATGGTGGTCGCACGACACTATGAATCCACTAAACAGCACTGAATTGTTCACTTTAACATGGTTAATTTGATGTTACATGAAATTTACCTCAATAAAAAAATTAGTATCAAAATGTACCAAAAAAGGAATATATTCCTTATATTCTTACTCCATATTCTTTCAAAATCTTTCTAAATTAAGTTGGCAGAAAAAAACAAACAGAAAAAACTACTTACAAATTTCTTTGCCAAGATTTCAAAACCCATTAAAGGTTTTAAGATGAGAAAACAAAATGTGTCATGGAAAGGAACAAGTGTTCGTGAACAAAGATGTATCCCTTAACATGCTAAGTCTACATGTAGACATATGTTGTCAGTTCTCTTGGGTAATGACACTTTCATTCTGATTTATACAACCCTAGGTTGGACACTGTGATGATTTTTAGTCTTGATCTCTCTTCCTAGTCAACTGATCAATTCTTGCTGAGTTACATGGAGCTTTATAAGTTCAGACACTGCATGAGAATGAGGTCATTGTGCTGTAGTTAAATATATAGCAAGAAAAAGATAAGACAACATCAAAATCTAAACTATTATAAAAGTTTATGAAACTTAAGGGAGAAATAGGACTAATCATTTGGATCTGTTAGTGTTTAATTTTAATGAATGACAAAGAGCATGTTACCAAATTCCCAGGGACAGGGATAAATATAAAACACTTGTGAGGGATAAATATAAAACACTTGAAGAACTAAGGGAGTGAGAGGGAGGGAGAGGGAGACAGAGAGGGAGAAGGAAGCAGAAGCAAGGGAAAGTGGACAGCTGGGAGAGGAGAGCAGAAAACAGCCAAGAAATTGGCTTAAAAAGTAAAGAGAAAAGACCTTTATTGTCTGCTATAAAAGCAATTATTGGATACTGGTTTTTAAAATAGCCTAAGATGATAAACAGATAAAATTCCACCAAGATTTCAAGTGCTCTCAACAAGAATTAATTACTGAACATTAAGTTGCTATTACCTCCATGCAGATTTGCCGACAGTACAAATGCGTAGGCCTTCATCCAGCTCATTACAGCAATAGTTTCTGGTTGGGTAGGATCTGTAATCTGAAAGAACTGGTCTGGGAAATTTCGGTTCAGGTCAAAGTTGTTGCTGTTATTTCTGCCAATTACACTTATTGAATCTCCTGTATGATAAAGATTAAAATTTAAGCCATGTTTCACATATACTAAATCCAACACATACTACTTTAACTATTTTGACTCAAAGGTATTCTGTATAAGGTGGCCCATGTAAGCGAGTTGCTCTGCCTGCCCTTCCTATGTTGCCCTAGGAGAAATGGGGCTAGCTCAGAGGGAACTGAGGAATGGGAAGTCAGTAATTTAGCAGGTTTAGAATATATATGGGGAGTAGAAGTGGGAGTCAAAATAGAATCACTGGCTTCAAAAGATTTGTTTTGCATTTTCATTTATGAGATTAGGTTCCCAATACAATAATTTAACAAGAATTACTATTAAAATGGGATAATTTATAAAAATCTCTTATTATTTTTAGTAAATTTGAGCTATTACCAAAGGCGAGAACTTCATTAAATATAAACTACATAATCATTGAATGAACTAGCCTATCTTACAAGAATACAGAAGCTAGAGTCAATTGTAAATTACAAGAATAAAACAAGAAGAATTTCCAAGCAAACAACCAGTTCAAATTCTCTATGACCCCCAAATAATCGTGTCATATCACAGTCAAAAAGGTTAGGCATTAAAGACAGCTATTCTTTACCTTCCTGGGCCTTTTCATATCCATCAGGATTCATGGAAGGCATAAGGTGAATTCTAGTGCTACGAACCAAATCTGTGACTTCAGGGTCTGTTCCAAAGTTCTTACAAAGGTATTCAATGAGGTTCAATAGCAGTTCTCTTCCAACCACTTCATTTCCATGCATATTTCCAATATACTTAAATTCTGGTTCACCTGAAAACAAAATAATTACATGGAAGACTTTTATTCCTTTTCATTTCTTGTGGACTCTATTTTTTACCCAGTGTGTGCAAAGACCCTGAATCAAAAATTTAAGAAAAGACATATTTTAACAAAAGAAGCATCTTATAAAGCAGCTTCCTTAATAACATATAAGTCTGAACAGGCTCAAAAATATATATACATATATATATATATATTCACATACATATGCCATATAATATGAAAATAAAAATAGTATTAACAGAAAGAATTTGATCTATGCAGTGTATTAAATACTGTGCCTAATATGGATTATCAGACGGATTTTCTTCTTTTCTGGCAAAAGATTGGTTATATTTTCTTTGTTCCAGTGATACATACTATGAGTGACCTTTCTAGGTAAAACTTTGCAATATAGCACATAGCTCTGAGAGGTACTACTGGAATTATGCATAAGGCCACACCAAATTACCTGGTTCATGAACACCTGGATTATCAGATATCTCCATTACATAAAGTTCTCTTGACTCTACAGATTTTCCTAACGAATAAAGCCGGGTGATGTTAGGATATTCGTTGGCAAACCTTCTCAAGAAGATTTCCATATCAGGGAAATGGTGGTGGTGAAAGTCCTTTGGCTGAATTGGCTGGTGGAAGGATTGTGTTCCAGGAAGATTATTAAGTATAGCAACTGTGCTCGCCGTTACTACAACCTCAGTTGTGTGAGGGATTACTGAAGTCACAGTTGGCCGAAGGGAAAAATTCACCTTTGTGGCTGGTCCTTCTTTCACTATTACATTATTAACAGTCAGTGGCATATACCTGAAAAAGAAAATTTGAAAAAGCAGATGGCTTGGAGTTACATGAAAACACACAATGCTTTAACATTACAAAAGCACAATAGCCTTTTCATACTCTTGTATTTAGTGGTCTATCAAAACTCAAGCCAAATAAAGATAAACTCCAGATATTTAAGGTAAACTCAAGACTTTTGGGATATTATCCCTTAGAGAATCCGAGGGTTAAGTTTTAAAGAACTATTTCTCTAACGACCTTCTCAAGTTCCACACATTAGAATGCTTACAAAAAATTGCATCAAACTGATATTCTATCTACTTTCTCAAATAGGAAAGTTCAAAATTAAGTTAAAGTTTATCAATTAAATTCTTAGCAGAGTGAGCTTCCAGAAAGGTTTCCAGGGGTAGGGAGAAACTATTCAGTTCATGTATTAGAAAACTAATGGTAAGACAGCTCTTCAAAATGTCTTTCGTAGAGCTCTGAGTTTCTTCTACTCTGGTATTCAATAAGCCTAGAGGCAATGCTTTACATAGCTGACCATCTTTCCAAGTTTTTAAAACGGTCCTTCCTCCTTATTTTACAATTATGCTTCATATCCACTTGTACACTACTATGTGACAGTCTTTTCTCATTATACAAGGAGGAAAAAAATCAGAAAACAAAGTTTGAAAAGAAAAGCTAGATACAGTAAATAACATCAACTAGACTATATTTCTATCTTAAATATAAACAGAGGCTTGTTACTTTAAGGGTCTAGTTTAAATTTTTACCCAGTTAAAACTGCTGTAATGTTATAAGTTCCAGGAACAAGTAATCTGTGGAAATCACCAAATCTGCCTGTTGTGATATTATGATTAATACCAGCCACTGAAATGGTTGCATTCTCTAAGCCAGATCCTGTCACCAAATCTGTAACAAATCCTTTAACTCCAATGTGGACCTAAAAAAACAAGAATCAAAGTTGACTGTTCAGAGACAGTTTGGAAGGCAAGAGATCATAATCCCTCTGCACTGATACTAAAATTTCTAAAAACTAAGGTTACTCCTCTATCTCCCTGAAACATTTTTCAATCCCAGTTACATAAAATATAGACAAAAATATTCAATCCTCAAACTTAAGTCATATATGTCTGAAATCTAGACTACTAATGTGTTCTTGAAATTCCCTCTTCTCACAGCCAAACTTCTCATTTTCTCAACAAGGTAGAAGTAATAATTTCTGGTATATCCAACAGCATATTAGCTAGCTTGTCTGCTGCTTAAACTTGTGTACATGGTTCATATAATGGTAAAGACTCTACAGCAAATATGATCATATGACATTGTAAGAACCTGTTATTACATATTTGGCTAATTATTTCAGTTTGTAGAAGTAGCAAAGACAATCACAGGAAGCCCTCCGGAGGAAAAGAGCTGAGGGAGAGGGCAAGAAAGGCCCAGCTAGAATATATTCCTAAAGATTCTAATATAATAATTTCTAAAGATAATCTCCAATCTTAAATAATAAAAACAGATAAAGGGTATTTAGTATAGACTGTCATTCACATACAACCGAATTTCTCCCTTATTTAATCCATTATTTCCATACCCCAACCTTCCAGCCAGTACTTTTACCTTTTCAATCAATGTGATCAAAGACTCACGATTGTTCTCCCATTCTTGTCGAAGCTGTGAAGCAGGTGGGTACTTGCAACAAGACAGTTCTAATGTGATCTCAAAGCAGTTGGCCCATACATAATTGTAATCTTGCATACCACCTGCAACATGAAGGAAAAGATTTGTTTACTCTCAGAATTCTACTCTCAAAAAGACCAAAGAAATGAAATCAGCCATCTCTACATGTATAAATTTCTTCATTAGATTGTTTGAAATTGGAGAAGGCTCTTGAATTACACTGGAGACTAAGAAGGAATATATATGTTGAAAAGAAATATATATAAAGGAAACATATTTGATTGATAGGATGAACAGTTATGACAAACATGAATACATCAGTTAATAACAATAGCAACAATGATAACAGATCTAAACATTGAGTGTTTACTATATATGCCAGACCAGTTTTATAAGCTTTATGTGCATTAACATTTAATCTTTACAAAAACTGTATGAGGTAGGTATTACTATTTCAGTCACTTTGCAGATGTGAGAAGTAAGGCACAGAGAGGTTAAGATTTTTGACAGAAGGATTTTTGAAAGGTAGACATGATCTTGGAGTTGTGAAGGATATTCGTGCCAAAGCATTAAATGCCTACTCTTTGAACTGTACTCCCTTTATCAAGAAGGTGGCAAAAGAGAAAAAATGAAAGGCTATATCTAGGTGGCACAGCTACAGAACTCAGTGTGTGGGGGGGAATAAAAGACACAACAACCCTTACAAAATATGTTTAATGGAAGAAGGAAGTAAAAAAAGGAATAAGCATTCATAGTCAACCACCTTCACCACTTCTACACCTATACAAGCCCACACACTCATTCTATAGAAAGCCTATTACCTTATCATTTCTGCCATTGATTTTTTTTATTGACTTAATTTTTTTAGGGCAACTTTCATTTCACAGAAAAATTGGGCAAAAGGTACAGAGATTTCAGGTGGCCCTATCCCCATATATGCATAGCCTCCCCCATTATGAACACCCCCACCAGAGTGCATTTATTACAACTGATGAACTACATTGACAAAATTATTACCACCTGAAGTCCACAGTTTACATTAGGGTTCACTCTTGGTGTTGTACATTCTATAGGCTTTAACAAATGTATAATGACATGTTTCTGCCATTATAGTAGCAAAAAGAATAGTTTCACTGCCCTAAAAATCCTCTTGTGCTCCACCTATTCATGCCTTCCTCCTCCCTAAACCCTGGCAAACATGGATATTTTTACTATTTCCATATGGTTTGCCTTTTCCACAAAGTCATATAGTTGGAATCATACGGTATGTAGTCTTTTCAGATTCACTTCTTTCATTGAGTAATAGGTATTTAAGGTTCTTACATGTCTTTTCATGTCTTGGTAGTGTACTTCTTTTTAGTGCTGAATAATATGACACTGTCTGAATGTACCACAGTTTATTTTATACATTCACCTACTGAAGGACACCTTGGTTGCTTCCAAAGTTTGGCAGTTATGAATAAAGTTGCTATAAACATCTGGGTGCAGGCTTTTGTATAGACACAAATTTTCAACTCCTCTGGGCAAATATGAAGGAATGCAATTGCTGGATCATATGGTAAGAGTATGTTTAGTTTTGTGAGAAAACACCAAACTGTCTTCCAGAGTAGCTTTACCATTTTGCATTCCCACCAACAATGAATGAAAGTTCCTGCTGCTCCACATCTACACCAGCATTTGCTGTTGTCACTGTCCCACATTGTGGCCATTCTAATATGTGTGTAGTGGTAACTTGTTTTAATTTACATTTCCCTGATGACATGTGAAGTAGAGCATCTTTTCATGTTTATTTGCCATCTGTATATCTTCTATGGTGAGGTGTCTGTTAAGGTCTTTGGCCCATTTTTTTTTGTATCATTAATCTACAATTACATGAGGAACATTATGTTTACTAGACTCCCCCCATCACCAACTTCCCCCTACATACCCCATTGCAGTCACAGTCCATCAGCATAGTAAGATGCTGTAGAATCACTACTTATCTTCTCTGTGTTGTACAGCCCTCCCCATGCTCCCACATTGTACATGCTAATC